CCAAAAGGATCACATTACCTACGTAACACCAATATTTTTGTAGTTCAGCGGTATGTTTTAGGGCTTATTATTCTAAAATTCGAGTTTTGATACACACGGTGGGAGAGCACAAATAGGTCATTTTGTAACAACAAAGAAACAAACAAAAACGTAATGCCAAAAAATATCAAAATGCAGTTCTGATACATTCCGTTCCACCTTATATCAGTAGTGTTTGTCACATAACTTGCTGACTTGCATATTCAAAATATTTCAAGATAATGTACTCAACCTTCTGTATACTTTAAGAGACTATATGAGCGATTTTTTTCGTTGTTTAATTAGTGTTTCTTACGCAGTCGCTCAAAACGGTTTTTAAAATAATCAGCTGCCAACTTTTATTCTAGTTTCTGGAACACTTATACTCACATAACATTTCAATACTATTTTTTCACGTTCACTTTAACTTAATAAGAACGATTCCATGAATGTTATTGTCATTATTCAGGAAATGAAATAAAACATTGAACTCGTATTTTATAAATAGTTTATAACTAACGTACAAAGCAACTGCGATATTTGCGAAGTGAAACCTTTTACAAAGTGATTTTCTTATACTTGTATTGGTGTGTAAAGAAGTTTACATTAAACTATTCCAGTTATTTGAAATTTATAGGACGTAGCTAGGAGAAAATCGCGTGTTACAAAGACTGTTTTGTAATTTGTTTCTTTTCAACTTCTATAAATAAGAACCAGGTAACACAAACTTTTCTCCTTAACAAACTGGTAAAATTTAGAACTCAGATAAATATCCAAATAGTTTAACTGCAGTGTAACATCGATAAAAATAGTTTTTTGTTCAATAGATTCATGAGCAGTATTCACCACCATAGTTTTTTATTGTTGTTGTATAGAGAATTTATTTGTCTTTAGTAAATGATGTGCAAGGAAACAATACAATAAAAAATACTTTAAGATAGTTTAGTTTTGTGTGAAAAATATTAAATATTATTAGTATTTTAGATAATTTACATACATTTACGGAGGTGATAAAATTCTTCAGCTTCTATATAATAAGTTTCCTTTTATATTTCTTTACGAAAAACTTTTCTAGACGACATGTTTTGTTTGATACTAGAATTTTCATTGCAATTTATTTAGATTTTTGCCCATATTTTTTAATAAATTTCAATTATAACTATCTATATCTTTTAAAGTTAATGCCAAGTCCTTGTTCAATATCATAAATTTTAATTTTCAATCTGAAGGGTATCTTATGCACACGTGAGCTAAACGACCAGGTCAGAGACCCCTGAAGTTCAGGTATCGCATTTCCTAATTTCCTCTTTGAACTTAATAATGGATTTATTTTCAATCTTAAATCCGCCCACAGTAGACAATGTGGAGTGTGTTTAGAAGTATAACGTCTTGAACCCCGTAATCACATCCAGACAGACTAAAGTCCATGCCACATTTGTCTCATTTCGAATAAAGGTTTATAGAGCTTGCAAAAAATTAACTAAAAACTTCCAGATTGTTTACTTCGAAGTAAGTACGGTTTAATTATTTGAAGAAATAAATTTACTATGCATATTTCATTTAGTATTACTAATTCTAACTTAACACAAGACTTTTTTTGCCAATAATATGAGTGATCCAGTCTGTATGTATTAGGTCGTCAAGAAATTAATGTCGCGTTTTGGAACACTTTCATTAATTC